TGATCGTGTTTCTACGATACTTTACGTCTAATAGAACGACGCCTCGTAGGAATTTTAGCTGTCTCGAGCTGCATTTCGACTATTCCCCTTTCTCATAAACGCGTAGACATCCGTGCAATCTACTTATTAAACGTGCAAATTATACGTTTCAAGTTTAGCGTGTTACAGTCCATATTACATTGGCAACTAAGTGGTTGCGGATTTTGCCATTACCGCCTAACGACGAACTCCGCAATCACTTAGTTGCCAACCTAATATTTATATTTACGATTTAGAGAATAAAATTTACAATTTTGTATTTTGTACTCTCTAAGAAAAATTCTTTTAGGAATGGTTAAAGGAACGAAAAATGAATAATAGAACGGATAGTCTGACCTGATTGTTTTAACTGTGGCAAATTAAACTATGCCTCGGGAACGGACGTTCCATACGATCGCGTCGTGCTTATGTCGTATTTACGCGCGATTCGCCAGAACATTCGCCTCGAATCCGCTTGCGAAACACGTTGCGACAGTTTTTCCGGAATTCGAGGTCCAACCGTTGCGCGATTTTTATCGAATATTATTATTATTGTTGTTGTTGTTGTTACTACTATACAAACAAAGATACGCGCGATGCGAGGAAGAATAAATTACGCGCGCGAATATGCAGCGTGTCCTGTTGAACAGGAAGCGTTTAAACGTCTGGAAAGATACGAAAAAATGTTTCAGAGAAAAGCCGTGTGATATCCAGGGGCAGGTGTGATATCCACTTGACCCAGCGATTAAACATTTTCGAACGGATACCTCCACTTCTCATTACATATTTTATTTTATTATATTTTGTTATCATATTTTAAGCGACGTTCTAAAAACACCGGAAACTCGTGTCCTTTGCACTTTACGTTATGGAGATAATACGAACTTTCAAGTTTGATGTGACACTGATATTAAGACGTTTTTCACGGTGCTACGACCGGTATGGCTTTAACGGAGCACGAAATCCCAGTTTTCCAACGTTTCCAAAATAGTCGGTGAGCCGCGAACAGTCGCTTCCATTTGGTTGGCAACTAAGTGGTTGCGGATTTTATCATTAGGTGATATTGACAAAATCCGCAATCACTTAGTTGCCAACCCAATAAGTCCTTGCGTCGGTCTCGCGCGAAACACGCGAGTCTACAGTGTCTCGAAGAAGTCAGCTATAGGAACACGCAACGAGGAATGGAGGTGGCCCAAATTTTGAAATTTCCTCGCGTTCTCTCGTATTTTATCGATCGTATTGTTCCAGACGTTCGATCCAATTGCCAATTGAACAGGACGTATATACCGTACACGAAAGAGAAGAGCAACAAAGAAAAGAGAAAGATACGTAGGATTGAAAGTGTCTTAAGGATGATAAGGATTAATTATTGTTACGCTTAATTAAAACAAAAAATCGACGTTGCGGTGATCAGAGGGTTAAAGTAGGTAGACAATCGGATGAACGGAGCGAAGATAGCGATAGATGAGACGGTGCAGTAGCGTGTGGAATATTGCTAGCAAAAGGAAAGTGGTGATTCAGTTTCCACGAAAAGTGCGAGGCGGAACTTTCGCCTTTTCGCTCGTCCGGCCTCTTCGAAGCAAAAAAGAAAAAGGAAAAGGTGAAAGGGAAAGGAAACTGGCGGCGTGTCTCTCACCTGCGTACGAAAACAAAGGATGGTCGCTGCTGTGATTGTAGAATTTGGTCCACATGCACAACGTGAACTCCTTCATGTCCGGCAGCTGCGTCTTGTAGTGAACGTACTGCGGAAGGAAGAAAGCGATCGTTAATCAATGGAAATCGGATCCGTTCGGAGATCTGTGGCGCGGTCGGAGCGTAGTTTACAGATCGGAGAATTACACGAGCGAGACGCGTTCTTACGCGATTTGACTTGTTCCGCGATCGCCGAGAAGTAAACTCGATTTGTAAGCAACCGGAGAACCTGTCGGCGCCACCGGTTCTTTTTACCATCGTCACCTTTCCCTCTGCGTTTCCGCGTGCAAACTGCGTTTCGCTTTCTATCGGCAAAATCGGTCGTGCAGATTGGTTGCATATGTTGTAACTGGCGATACGACTAGGAAAAAGGACGGTCGTAAGGTGAAAATTGAACGCGAAGCAACGTGAAATACAATTTTTACACGTTGAACTTTGTTTTTCGGAAAATTGATTTTGTATGTTTGTAAAGGTATATTCGTGGGTTTATGTGAAAATAATCGCGTATTTCGATGCAGTTATAGATATCGAGTAACATCGAAAACAAACGTTGTTGCAGTGTTTGTTAAAATAATAACTCGCGCTGTACATTCTCTTTACAGTATACAACCGTATAGAATATTTGTCAACATTTTTGTCCATACGATTTCTGTCTGTCAGAATAGAAAATATTTTCGAGAACGCGCAAAGTATACGATCAAATTTATCTAACGCTATGAGCATAAACAGAGAGAGACCAGTTGCTGCATTTTTCAGCCAGACGATATGTTCGGGTATGTCGGCGCTATGAAATTGTAAAAAGACAAACGAAGAGTCTATCTTCAGATAAATCATGTTTGTTTTATTATTTTGCTAGGATTAACACTTTGACTGCCACATTGGTCATTGGTGACCGGAGCTCCTCAACTTCCTACCATTGCAAAACTTGAATGAAAATTGACAGTTTGGGCATTTCGAATATAACCGATAAATAGAAGATACTTCGAAATTAAAAGTGTCCCATTGAACAATCAAACATTTTTATTAGAACATTAATGAAAAAATGAGAAGAAATCTTGCATCTAAGGGTGCACTGTGTTAAAACACTTTAAACATAAATGTGGCTCGTCGATACAATCTGGACGATAGGTGATCACCTTTTTGGTCCGATTCATAGCAATTTTTCATCCTAACTGTTTAACATTTTTTTATACCACTCTCTGTAAAATTTTCGTGCCAGGCACGCTTGCCCTTCTTTCTTCTGCATTTCGTGTCGCAATCTTTGTCGAATAAGTATATTTGACGACTCTGGTGAATGGCACTGTACGAGGTGCATTGCGAATGCCATTCTAAGATCTGATAACTTGATTTTTAGTTTTGTTGCTTGTTTATAGAGTATCATCGCGTTTGAAATTGAAGTATTAAACGATAACTCTAAAGCTAACTTTGTATACCACTCGAGGGTTCTTCCATGTGCTGTAGAATATGCTATCACTTGATCTGATAAATCTACAGCACAGTTTCCTCTGTTGTGATCTACCACTACCATTGGTTTCCTTAGCAGCTTGAAGCTGCAAGTTTCAAGATCAAGTTCCCAAACGTCCGCCTGATGAATTTGCGTTTAGTCGCCTTAGACTCCACGTGGAACTTCATCGCCACATTCGTCGGGTTGCAGGCAATTGGCATCTTCGTGACAACACGAAGGCAAACCATATTACCACGAGTCAATCGTCGACAATTTCTCTGTGATCTTAAACGAGTGTGCGTTCTGTTTTTCGTATTCATAGCATTTAATAAGTATGTGGATTGTATAAATTTGATCGCCATGTTGGCGAGCTCGCGCGAATAATAAAATGAACGCGACAAAGGTTGCCGCGCGATAATTAGTTTTTGCGCGATCGTGAAATTCCCCGAAGGACCTTTCGACCCGCTGGCCAATTCTCTCGGCTGGCAAATACTCGATATTGCACCGCGGCCAAAGGGTGTCGCGATTTAATTGAACCCACTGTCTAGCGCGACGAAAGTGCTCGCCGACCCCTTTTTTTTCTCTCTCTGCAACCCCGATCCGATAAATCTACAGCACATTTTCCTCTCTTGTAATCTACACTACCATTGGTTTATCGCAAACATAATTTTTCTTGCAGACCTGTACCATTTCAGCCGAATGTTTCGTCGAAATCATAAAAATGATCCTAATACTGTTCACTAATATCTTCTACACGTTTCAACAATATATTCCGCGCGTTTTGCCTGCGACGAAATAACGAAAGCGAATGGTTTGTTGAAATAAACGAAGCCTTGTTATAATATGTCGCTATCAACTGTTACCGAGGCGTCACGGTGGTCACCCGTGACCACCAGTAAGATAAACGGTCCATCGGGGAAGAATGTTGTCTTAAATCATCAATTTATCATTATTTTGCCATTATATGCTTTGAATAATGAAAATACTCCCGTGGCGTCCTGAGCTAAACATGTGATTTCAACGTGGCAGTCAGTGTTAATATCTTTATTATTATTATTATTATTATCATCATTTATCGGAGTTCATGGTTTTCAGCTTACGTTATATTTACGTTAGAATTCTCATTAGCTGGGACAGACATTTAAAAGATACAAAGTAGATCGCTGCAGGTTCGTTTGCTGACAATGTGCTGTTAATTTCAATAAGAAAAAGTCTATTACTCGCACTGTGTAGCTAAAAAGAGGCGCGCGATTATCCAAGTAAAATGCGTTGGAAAAGAAACGAACCAGCTTAACCGATTGCATCTTACGCGGAACGATCTGTTGTAACGTAATCGTCGCGTTTCCCGATCGCACGGCTCTCCGCCGGTTTAACCATTTCACGAGAACAAGGTCTCCGCCATAATTTCCTACTTTGTGTTTACGCATTCGCGTTGCGCAACAAAATCGTTCGACACGCTTCGAAATCGATTGCCAAGTGCGGCTCAATTTTCGCTGCACCTGTAGGCAAATGACGCGCGTCGGTGAATTAAGTCGGGAAATGAACTCGAGAGGAATAATAGCGGCGCAAAGCGATCTCGCGACAGTTCGATGCACTTGAACGTGTTGCCGCGTTCCACACGATTTCCCGAGCGCGAGATCTACAACGAATTGTCTTTTAATTTACATCGTCTCACTGTTTCGCTCTTCCCTAATTTGCTAATGAAACCAGCATGAAAGCCGTGTTCTTGCAAAGTGAAACAGTGTGAATTCGGCGTAGCCGATAGCTAGCGATGCGATCTGCGATATTTGGAATTTCTGTGCAACGTGTACGACGATAAAATCCAATCACTTGCAACCTGATTCGTATCTTGAAGCCTCTGCGAGCAGACACTCGAGATAACAGTCATTTTCGGCACTTTTTGGAAACTTGCCACGGAGTAAAAGCTAATTTCTCCAAAGATGAAGAGGAGGAAGATAGTAATTTTTAATTGTTCCCATCGCGAATAACAGTTGTGAACGATTAGCATTTTTTGTTTTTTTTGGGGGGTGGGGGGCTATCGACGAATCGAATTTCATTTTGGTTACCGATAACCATAATCGATTGCCCGAAAACAATTCGTTTGCTTATCGTAAAATTTACTCTCGTTACGTTCGGCTATCGTCGATTGTTGTTAACGTTGCTGATAATTGGTATTAATATTCATATTTGTAATTAGTATTCATCGATACGAAACAATTTAATTATGAAGCTTGCGTATACATTTTATTAATCAAAGAAACGATATGAAAATATATGAGATACGGAATATCCTCTGTTTCATATATTTTCATGCCGGATTTTCTGCTTAATAAAATATATAACTTTCGTAACAAATCTTTCTTATATTGTCAAATTTCAATCGTTTGTATCGATCAAAGATATCAATTCTTATAGCTTAACTTTGAAAATTTGTCTTGCGCAACGATTATGAGATCCGTTTGAAAATTTTGCTCAGTTTCTGAGCCTTTTAAGTTTCTTGAGTTTTGATAGTCTTGCGGGATATTCGAAATTCTTAGCTCGAGAGTTTCAGGATGGAAACGATGTATCTTATCGAAAGATCAGTAGCAAGCAAACGACCCAAAGAATTTGACACGATCGAAGATTTTTCAAGATTTGTAACACTCGCAAACTGGTCAAAACCTACCAAGATTCAAATTTGAATCTGAAAATGTCCAGTTTAGAAACTATTTCAAAGTTAATACTAGCACTACCGATAGTTAACACGAAGCCCGATAGTTCACGCGAAGATATTTCTATCAAAACCAGCGAAAACGACTGGTCTTTAAAAAATACGTAATAATAGAATATTTTTATATTTATTGATTTATTACTCTCTCACGGAAGGAATTCCATGTTATATAGTACATTTTTGATATTATTAATCCATCTGAAGCCATGATCCCTAAACGAGGGTTAACACGTTTATAAAAATTCTAGAACCAATCATTTTGACTGGCGTGGTATTTCTAGTGTTAGCATCTAGCGATCTAGCGATCGATCCGGAATTTTCCTGATAACCGATATCGTCATATCGAGTGATACGCAGTAAAAATTTGAAAAACGCGTGGCAAGTTGTAGAAAACGAGGAAACTGGTTAATTGGGGTTCGATAAACAGATCGCAGCACTCTTTTACACTTTGACAAGTACCAGTCATTTTCACTGGTATTGGTACAAGTAGCCTTGATGCAAAATTATTTTCACTTTGAATACATAAAAAACAAAATGTTATTTCTATACTCAGAGGTAGGATCGCAACAGGTTAAGAGCCCAGGTGCAATAATTAGTTATTATTTTTATTGAAAATATTATTAACGGTAATAATATCGAGGAGCGTAGAAGATAATCTAAAAACAAAAAAAAGGGGCTGCGTGATCGATGATTCAGTGTTGAATATCATAAGGACGCTTTATCGAGTATACAATAATTGTTTACGTGATAATACAGTTATCAAAAAAAAAAAAAAAAAAATGTCGAGGGGAAATAACAAGGCAAAATAAAATTCATTATATTATTCTTTTAGTTATCGTCGCGAAAGTCATTACATCATTGCAGAAAAGAATATAACACGAAGTAGGAATTCGAAA